AACCAACCCACTCGTCCGCAGTTTTGGGAAAGTGGGCGGAGTGAGATGGGTCGACTGCTTTCAGAATCAAATATACAAAAAGCCATGATGTGGGCGGTGGTGATCGAGGTAGGAAGGAGGGGTGTCGTACTGGGAAAGTTTAGAACTGAAGGTGGTGGTGAGAAGTCACATCGAGAACCCTCAAAGAGGAAGGGCCGCAAATTTTTGGAGAAGTGCGAATTCGACGGTTGACCCTGCTTCTAAGTCCAATTTCACTGTGCTCCCTAGTAGATTGCCCTGGCTGCAAACGATTTCCACGCCCAGAAAACCATGGAGACCTTTGTTTTTCAGTGGTTATGTCTCAGCCACATTTCCGAATGATTCAGATTTCTCAGTTTAATTTTAGTTTTGAACAATATTCTCACCACATCGGAAGTAGCATTCGGACATTCAGCATAACATGTGAGCTTTTCTTGATTTGCAGGAGACACTATGGGGAGCGCTCACCAGACAAACGGATTACTGTAGCCTACAAAGCTTTAAACACAACGAGTGACGTCACAAATTTCTTCACGCCAATACAAATTGCTTCAAGCGTGGGAAGAATGTATGTCTAGCGCTCTATTAAGCTTGTACCTTCGACAAACCCTCGGTCACACTTCTAGAGCTCTAAAATGCATAATAGGTGACTGCAGCGCATTGAAAAACGGCGCCTGTATGCATGGTACACCCTCTCTTTCCGGCAGCCAGGTATGTGTCTACACAGACTTCACAACACAAATGACGACAGCATCCACAAAATGTAATTGTTTTCTGCCAACGAAATGGTCAGCCTTTGCAGCAGTGTTCTTGTAATGTCACTAAATACAGTAATTATTAACCAAATATCAGATCTCACTAAAACTATTAGATATCAGGTTTACTAGAAAGTCGTCGACACTTGTTTGTGTAGTCTGTAGTGCAGACATTCCTGACCGCCGGATACAATGGGTATTAAATTTTATCAATCAACAATGTGCTCCATCTCTCAGGGGTCAGTTGCCCGATACCAAGCACGTTGGGAGGGGAGGGAAGGCGGGGGAGGAGCACTAATCCAGACATTAGCCGGAGGTCCGAAAATTGCACAGGCCGAATCGCATTGAGATGCCATTTCGATCCTGAATTTTAAGTATTGTTAATCGCATTTCCCTCCCTTTTTTCCCTACCGCGACACCCACACCCATCAAGTTTTTGACTTCTTGCTGTTGTAAATTCGAACCAGAATATTATAAATCTGCAGAATTGCACATTTCGGCCACCCATAATCTCCACAACATCACAAAACTATTAAAAGTTGGGCTCTATCTGAATAGGAGATGGGAGAACTGGGGGGAGGGCAGGAGGAACGGAGCACTTACTGTATAAGAAGGAAAACACATGAAATATCTTAGACAATGTCTGTAAGCGTTTCGATGGCAAAACAAAACGCTTCAAAACTATAAAATCTGCTCAACCTTTTAGAAAAACAGCTGCTCCAAAAAACAAAACTGTCGAAAGCCAAGGAGCACTCTCGTGGTATCTAGAAGCCTCATTTCTACGCTTTTTTCCGACGTTTTCTTCTGATTGAGGTGAAGTGGTGTGGTAGGAA